CAAACTTGATTTCCATACTTACTATAACACTGTGACAATCAAAGCAATGTTATACTTAAAAACAGACAAAAAGATCAATAGGACAGAATTAATAGCCTAAAAATTGACCCATGGGTTTATAGTCCATCTTTATTGATTAGGACATCAAAGTAATTCAACAAATGTTACTGGACATCTACTTAGAAGAAATGAACATGTATTCCTAGTTAACACTATAAGAAAACATTAATTTGAAACGGTGTAATGATAAATTTTTTCAACTTGACTAAGTCGTGGAGTACCCAGATATTTGGTTAAACATTATTCTCGATGTACCTGTGAGGGTGTAATTGGATGAGATTAATATTTGAATAGGTAATTTGAGTAAAGCAGATTGTCCTTCCCAATGTGGGTGGGCCTCATCTAATCCATGAATAAAGGAGAATAGAACAAAAGCCTGACTGAGGAAAGGAGAATTCACTCTCTCTGCCTGGTTGTATTCAAGTTGGAACATGGGTCTTCTGCCTTTGAATGCAGATTCAAACAGGAACTAGATCTTCAGCTCTCCTGCTTCTCAGGCTTTCAGGCTTGCAATAGAACTACACTATTGGTGTTTCTGGGTCTCTAACTTGTCAACTGCAGATTTTGGGACTTCCCAACTTCCATAATCATGTGATTTAATTCCTTATAATAAATCTCTTCATAGAGATAATGATAGAGATATTATCATAGATATTATTAGATATGTATTAAAGATATATTGTAAACACATATTTATCTATATCCATGGATAAAGACAGAGATATTATCACAGATATTATTAGAGATATTACTAGAGATATATTAGAGATATATTATAGAGATATGTATGTATTTATTTATCTATATCCATAAATAACTTATTGCTTCTGTTTCTCTAGAGAACCTACAAGAGTGTCACAGACCTAAATATAAATGCTAAAACTTTAGTTAAAACTATTGAATAAAATTTTCATTCCATTGGGGTATGCAAAGCTTTCTTTTTTTTAATTTATTTATTCATGAGAGACACAGAGAGAGAGAGAGAGAGGTAGAGACACAGGCAGAGGGAGAAGCAGTTTCCATCCATGCAGGGAGCCCAACATGGGACTCGATCCTGGGTCTCCAGGATCATGCCCTGGGCTGAAGGTGGCGCTCAATTGCTGAGCCACCTGGGCTGCCTACTAAGGTTTCTTAAACAGTATAAAAAGAAAAAGGGGAGCACAAGTATATAAAAAAATGGAACATTATCGTAATTAAAACTTTTACTCTTCAAAAGACACTGTTAGGAAAATGAGAAGGCAAACCATAGACTGTGAGAAAATATTTGCAATATATCTGACAAAAGACTTCTACTCAGGGTATAATAAAGACTCAGGCATAAGAACACAGCCATCTCCACTTAAAATATGGGCATAATGTTTGAATGGACACTTCACAGGGTTGTGGGGGCAGCTAATGAGTGCATGAAAAGATGTTCAACATTCAACAGTGACTCAACATTGTTGAATCCATAGCCATTAGGGAAACACAAGTTAAAAACACACTGGGGGTGCCTGGGTGGTTCAGTCAGTTAAATGTCTGACTTTTGATTTCAGCTCAGGTCATGATCTCAGGTGTTGTGAGATTGAGCCCCACATCAGACTCCATGCTGGGTGTGGAGCCTGCTTAAGATCCTCTCCCTCTCCCTCTGCCCTCCACCCACCTCTCTCCCTCTTTAAAACAAAACAAAACAAAAAACAAAACACTGGGATACTATTTCACATTTATTGGAATGACTTTCAAAAAGACTGGTAAGTGGACATTCTGTGGAGCAACTGGAACTCTCATATACTGCTGAAGGGAGTTACAAATAGTAAAGATTTTGGAAAATAATTTCTTAAAATGTTAATCCTGTAAGTATCATATGGCTAGTAATTTCATTTCCAAGGGGAAGTGAATGCATATATATCCATATGACCCAAAACTTTAGTCTGAGAAATGAATGTATATATATATATATATATATATATATATATACACAAAATGTTCATAGAGGTGTTATTCATAATAGTTTCAAATTAAAAGTAATTCAAATGCCCATCAACAGGTTAATGAATAAACAAATTTTGGTAGAGTTCTACAACAGAAAACTGTCCAGCAATAGAAGTGCTTCAGCTGCTGATACCAGCAGCAGTAAGGATTAATTTCACCAATACTATGTTGGGCAAAAGAAACCAAATCTAAGCCGTAAAACTAATCTGTGATGCTATAGATCAGATTAGCATATCCTTCTGACACGTGGATTAATTTACGGGAGGCACAGGGAAAATTTATAGAATATTGGGAATGTTCTGTATCTTAGCTAGGTTGTTGATTATTGATACACATTTGTCAAAATTCATGGAACTGTATACCTAAAACAGTCTTATTCTAAAAAAAAATATACTTCAATAAAGTTTTTTTTTTTTTTTTTAAATCGTAGTATTTTCGGGATCCCTGGGTGGCGCAGCGGTTTAGCGCCTGCCTTTGGCCCAGGGCGTGATCCTGGAGACCCAGGATCGAATCCCATGTCGGGCTCCTGGTGCATGGAGCCTGCTTCTCCCTCTGCCTGTGTCTCTGCCTCTCTCTCTCTCTCTCTTTCTCTCTGTGACTATCGTAAATAAATAAAAAATTTTAAAAAAATAAAAAATAAATAAATCGTAGCATTTTCTTAAAGCGTAGCCTGTGTTAATTTCCATATTTTGGTGGTGTGGGTAAAGTATACACACTGGAGCAACTCCCTACTTAGTTCTTTGTCTACTTCATATTAGCAAAAGGACATAAAGGGTAGGTTCATTGACAAATATAATCAATATCTGGAGGTTTTGGAGATGCAATTTATTGACAATGTCTTAAACATATTTCACTTTGAATATAAATACATTGTCTTTTGATGAGATTATTGCAAGCTAATTGAAATAATTGGTGGGGGAAGATCCTCATATTTGGGGCAATTAATGTGTTCCACTAAATATATCAGGGGAGCTTAAGGACAGAAAATGAACATGCTGCCTCATTTAGTTCTCTGTAGAGCAACAGAGCTAATTAGAGAGGAGGGTTATAAGCATTTACTAAGCACCAGTCATGTGTCTGGTCCTTATGTATACATGACCTCATGAGAGTTCTAGAAGGTCAGAGTCATTATGTCATTTACTTAAAAGATGAGGAAACCAAGCTTGAGTCCAATATGAATTGGAAGAAGCAGACCTATATCATTACTCAGACTGTGGCTCTTGATCTACCCACTGAGTCTTAGAATTTGGTCAAAAGAGTGTCTGCTTCAGAATAGTCTAGGGTCTTGACTAACATGTAGATATATTGGCCTTACCTCAGATCTACAGATAGAGTTTCTAGGGATAAGGATCTGAACTTTTGGCAAAGGCTCCAGGTAATTTCTAATTAGCTCCAAAGTTTAACAACTGTAGTTGCACACAATAGTCAAAGCATAGTCAACACTCAGCAAATGCCCATTACTTAGCAACTGACTGTGCATGTTTACATGTTTTTCATCTGAATTTTGCATGGGAAGTAACTACTCTTCTTATAGTCCAACTTTACGTATCTAAGATTTCTCAGTAAACTCAGAAGTTCTTTGGTTTGTATTCTTTGTTTGCAACAATTAAATAGCAAGAATTTCTGGTAGTCATAAAATGAGTTTCTAGCACTTTAAGTGCAAATGACTTCCAGAATCTAATACTTCTATCATGAACTCTCAGGAGTTTCTATTGTTCACTAGTTTTCCTTTTTATGAATTGTATTTTATTTTCATAGTTCGGTTCCAGATTTTGTCCCAGTTCATAACCAGAAAGGTCATTTCTGGGTTTGTATTTTTTCATCTAGGGTTTCCTCAGTCTGTTTCCACATGAAAGAGAGCATAAGAGCAAGTGAACATTGGATTCCAAGCATTTTTGCCCAACCTTACCTAATAAAATAGTTTTTATGTTTCTTAAACATAATCTGATACTGTTTTTCTTAGCCTTGCAGATAGTAAATCCACTGGCCTGATACCTTTGTATTATGCTCATCCAACTTGAAAAGTTATTTGGTCTGTCATTCTTTCTCCTTTGCCCCAAAGCACCATATACACCAAGAGCCATAGAGATAAGTGGCAAACATTTGAACATGTATACTTTTCCCAACTTTGATCTCATTCTCACCATATATGTCCTCTCTTCTGTTGCAAGAATGTTCTAAATGTATTCCATGTAAATCATTTACTTGTCTATTTTGCCATTGAATCTGAAGTGAAATGAGAAGTGATTTAATGTAAGACCATACAGTAGCTATACCAGTTGACTTTTTACTTCCAACAACTAATTCCTCTGTGTGTGTGTGTGTTTAAACATAAAAAAAGCCATAGTGCCTCAAACAAGAATATTTGTAAATGCTGTGGACCAAAATACTAGGATGTGAAGTTTACACCCACAGAAGATAATAATCAGTCCAGTTTTAAATGTCCTTTATCTAAGAGGCCAGGGCATTGGAAGCTTATATTGCAGTAAGTTTTAAAGTTTCCTCTGCCAAATGAAATGAGCATTAGGTAATTCTACTATGATTCCAAAATTTCTCTAGTTGACTTTAAATTTTTACCTAAGGCTTGAAACATATTTGTTTTGGGTTCATCAGTTCCACTAACCTCTGTTCAGGAAACTGTGTTCATAGTCTATTACATGGCTTTTGAAATGGGTTCAAGAGACTCTAGATTTTCCCATTTGCACTTTATGTATCAACTTCCATATTTCTTCATATGTAAAGTGAACATACTGATTGTTGTTGTAGTCTTCCTGGGAATTTGTATAGATGAATTTGTTAATTAGATGGAGTACTTCAAGATCTTAAAGGAAGGATGTTTCATAGATAAAGATACCATTATAATTTGTGTGAGGTTCTGCTTTATGGGTGGGATGATCCCCTCTTGAAAAGGTCACAGAAATGGCCCAAAGGCATGTGGAATGACAACAATCTGATCTTCCCTATTGCAGAGATCCCTGTCCCAACACCATTGTCCCATGTTTCCTGGCTCTCCACCGGCAGAAGCCTTAAACATTGAGCAACATTTTGGCTTGGAGAAAAACTAAGTGCATACTTGCCTATATTCCAAAACCAAGATGACGTATACTTCCAATTGAACAGATGTGGTCAGCCGTTGATTGGACCCAGAAGAGAAGAAATTAAAAGCATCCAAAACAACACTAAGTAGGAAATAGGGGTGAACAAAGGTGAGAAGATGCATAGTGTCTCTCCTTTCTTGTCATTATGATTTCTTTCCTCTTACTCCTCTTTTTCTCAGTAAGGAGGTTTTCCAAGTCTTTTCCTCTCTTTGGCTTCCTTTGCTTGGTCATAAGAGATGGGTGTGTCCAGAGTAGCAAATCTTTCCCATTACCTTCCAAGCACTCACAATTGAGCAGGAATTTTGAATGGGGCTTAATAAATATCGCCAATTTCCATAATTCAAGGACTTCTATATCCATTAAGAGGCTCTCCAGGCCCCGTTGCATTTCTCATCCTGCTTCCAGGTGCCCCGTGTCTGTTACCGATTTCATTGAACATCACCAACTAAATTCACAGAATCATGGAATAATCGAGTTGGAAGAGGACATGAAGTTCTCAGTCCAGACTTCATCTTTCTTTCACCCCATATAAAAATCTCCTCCCTGATATCTCTGCAGAATTTCATTCAGCCTCAGCTCAGACAGCTCCAAACCCTCACACCCTAAGAAGACATGTTTGTCTGGCTCTAGAGATTCAAAAGTTCTTCTTCACCCTGAGCCAGAATCTGCCTTCTGACTTTGTACCCTTCAGTCTTAGTTTTTCCTCTAGAGCAACATGGTATAAATATAATCCCCCTTTCAACTGAATTTCTCCTAATTCATCCTGTATTTGGTTAAGCAGGCTGAGCTCTTCCTCTGTCTTCTGTGTGAATCTGTTGTCCACATGACTATATGCTGAGCTTGTGGTCAACTATAAGGCTGCCATCTTTTGTACATACATTGCTGTAATCCACCCCTCCCTTGTGGTGCACTTTATCCAGGTGAGTTTTTTTTTTTTTTTTTTTTTGAGCCAAAGTGGGAAGGCTTTATATTTATCTCCTTCGAATTTCATTCTATTAACTTGAACCTATCATTCAAGTTTTTCTCCAGTCTCCATCTAACTTATTTGCTATTCCTCCCCACCTTTCTGAATCATCCACAGATTTAATGTCTGCTTTCTTTATAGTCTTCTAATGGCTGGTGAGGATGATAAAACAAACAGGGCCCAGACATCAGGAGGGAAGGTCTCCTTTGAGGGTGTGGAGTGACTTTTGTCAGGACTCAGCCCACATCCCCCCCAAATCTTTGCATGTTGACCACAGGTGTACTTTCCCCCTCTCAACCAACAGTTGTCTCCCAGAGCCCGTGTTGCCTATGCTCATGGAGAGAGAGCCTTTCCAGGATGCAACAGTTTTCCTGGAGGCAGCCCTCAACCAACAACCACTGGATACACTGGAAGATAAATACCCCAGCTCTCTTGTACCTAATGCAACCATCTCTGAGGTGTGACTTCTTTTGTTATCAGAGCCTCTCTATAGGATTAAGTCAAAGCAGTCTCCATGGGGCTTTGTCAGATAACATGCCCTTGCTAGCTTACAGTGTGTGTGCATGGGGTGGTGGGGGAGGGTGGTGGTGTGCACGTGTTAGTAAATTATATATAAAATCAACATCCCTAATCTGATAATCTGATAATCACCATTTGTGTGCAATAGCTCTTTTATCACATATATTTTAGTTTTTTAGAATAATTTATTTCTTCTGTTGATTGATCTGTTTATTATGTCAGTTAATACAGAAGCATATGTGGAAGAGGTAATTGTTTCTCACCCATTTTTTTAAACCACAGTTATATGGATGCCTTTTTAATTTGAAGAGTGTTCTCCTGAGTGGAGAGTATACAGCAAAGTGGAATTAAGAAATGTTACCTTGTTATTGTTTATGTCTTAATGTTATATGTGTATCCCCCTGGTATTAAGCCTCCTTATTTTTTTCTTTTGTTCTGAATGTAATTTTAAGAGGTGTTTTCACTGTTGGTACCATACATTTATTACAAACTGAAGTCATTCTCCAGTATATCAATTCTGACTTTTGTTGTTGTTTTTACCATATGATGGGCAAAAAGTTCATCATGGCAAAAATCAAAGAGATTTCAGAAGTTTATAAGATGAGGTGGTTACATATATATATATATTATTAATAATAATATGTATATATTTATATAGCTATTTTCAATTCTCCATTTTTACTTTGCACATGCTCTGTATTAAAAAGCATCTCCCATATCTTCTTCTGATTGACCAGCTTATAGACTACTTTGATGAAAATAACTTCTATATTACTATAATAAATGCTTTGTATCATCATATCATATGTGTTTTATTTTTCCACAGCACTTATATCCTTGGGCTTAAAGTTTTCCAAGCAGTAAAAGACAGTACTTTTCCTTAATCCTTCTAAGAGATATTTCTGAATTGATCTAGGTAGACTGTTCTATTGTCATATGCTAGCTCTGGCCCAGTTACTTCTGTTATTATCCTTGATGCTAATGGATTAAATCTGAAGCCTTGCATTTGGTCCCCAGACGTTGTTTTCTGTTATTTTATTCAGTGAACCTGAGTATGTACCCCCTTGCTCTTCTTATTTCTAGATTACATCACTTCAATTTTTTAAATTTTATTTTTATCTTGTTGGCCCAAAGTGAGTTACCTCATTTTTTTAAACAATTTGAAGGTAGAAGTATACACATAAGTAAAAATACACATACATGGATTGATAAGTCATATACCCGTGATCTCTATTATATCGAGATTCATTATTTCCATCTTTTTTAAATCAAATTTTAATTTTATAGGGTAATGGAATTTTAAGTAAAAAATCCTTCAGATAAAATGTAATCCAACCCCATAATACTTTTGTTGATGCAGATATTGAGAATAAGAACTGTAGCTTATACAGGTTAACGGTTATATTGAGTGGTCTAAACTTAGAATTCTAGTTTTGTGTTAAAAAAGATATTCTTCTTAATTTAGCATATTGCCCATCCTACCCAATGCCTCAGGATGTAAGTGACCATGAGAAGGGAAAATAAAATTGGTTATTTTATCTTCCTGGTTAAGTAGAATAAAAATACTGGGTTGTGGCACTGTCTGAAAAGAAATATTTTAACTGAATTTGGGAAATGCCTTTTTGGGGATTTTTGGTAATAATGTAAACCTTGTCCCTCATTAGGTAAAATGACAAATTGCAAAAGGGTCATGTATCTTAGAAACAAAACACATGCATTTCATAGATGTGGGCAGCACCGCAGAGTAGCAATATTACGGTAGCAGAAACACTAGGTAAGGATATGCATGTGTTTGTTGTGTTTCCTATTTCTCTTTGCTTTTTTTTTCCTGTCTAGGGAAATTAACCAACTAGCAGGGAAGCAAGGGATCTGAATGCATGGGGAAACCCAGTTGTTCAAGCTTGTCAAAATGCATATTGAAAATTTTTCATCAGCTCACTTTGAAAAATACTCTATAACCTAAACCTAGTTCAGTGAGTCGCAGCAGGTGTTCCAGATGGTAGTTTAAGAATGTCTGTGGGAGACATGGAAGTAATTCAAACAGAAGAGGGTCTTTTTTTGTTGTTGGAAGAGGGGATGATGGATACATTTCAGGCAGAGGCAACGTTTGTGTTGAATTTGAACTATAGGTGAGATGGACATTCAGTGTTTATGCCCAGGTTTGTATTGGGCCCCAGAGACCTGACTGGACCAGAGGCAGTTCACTGAATTCAAACATCACAATTAGGCTGAGAAAAATCCAAGAGGAATATACTTTTTTTTCACCCCCGATGACCTGAGACACTGTGTATGCTTCAGTTTCCCTACTGATCTCAGTTTGTGTGTCTTTTGTTTACAACTGATGAGTGGAATAACCTGACAACACTAAAGTTAAGAAATTTCTCACATATCCACTGGATATTTCTCTAAAAACCCTGCACTTATTTCTTTTTGTGGACTATATTTACCACACACAATAATGTTTTTCCATCTAAAAAACACAGTGACTCTTTTTGCTAATCAATATTAACTCATACGGGTACGCTTTAGATACATATGAATTTTTCAGTATACAGTTGATTTGAAGTAGAATAAGGATTTTTTTTTTTTTTACCCATCAGATATTATGAGAAGAGTAAGTAAAAACAGGAGTATGGATATATAAGTAAATGGCAGAGAACGAGATAATCCCGGTCCTTAGAGAAATAAACCTCTACTAATGTGTGAACAGATTTCAACTGATATCAGTGTTGTGAACAACACTAGTTTTGTTTCATCGTTTGAGGGAAAGAATGAAAGGAGAGAGAATAATGTCCTTTTTTTACCCTACTCGGTTGTGAGACTGTCATCGACATTGGCTTTAATCCTAGATAATCAACTTTTCTAGCAACTGAATACAAGGAAGGAGGGTTTGTTAGTGAGTTGAACAATTTCCAAACTAGAATCAACTTCGTTTTTTCTACTTCCTGACATATTGGCAAATCATTTTTATGAGCCCTTATGTGATTCATTGAGCCATTTGAGGAGGGTCAGAGGGCAAGGGTGCCATTTACCAGAGCAGGTTTAAGCTGGGGAAGGCGAGGTCAGAGGGGAAGAGAGACCCTCATTACTCTGGGAGGATTCCGGGGGCCAGCTCTGAGCCTGCCCAACCATGTTAGGCTCACACTGGGTGTTTGTTAGCACAAAGCACCGAACTGCAGGTGTTCTGCACTCTACAGAGTCTTCAAAGATCAGCCTCAAATGTTTCTGTTACTATAAAGAGGATTAAAAGGATTTAAAAACATAGCAGGCCTGTCCAACTGCTAGCATATTTGCCAACATTTGCCAAGAGGGGGGAAAACAGAGTAGGCTATATCAGCTATAAGTCCTGGTAGTTGAGGGAAACATACTTTTCAGGTTTCTTTTTTTCCCCCTTTTCTCCTTTTTTTTTAATAGCCTGAATGTGGAACTACAGCACTTTCAACTGGAACTCATTAAGAATTCATGGGGCAGAAAATGTAAGGGGTTCTGGAAATAGGGACTTTGAAAGGCCAGAAGTGAGCTATAAATAAACCGCTGCTGATATTCATTTTTTCCCTGGTGGTTAAATACACTTATTACACTGGAATGCTCACGTGGAGTAAACCAGGT